CCTGGCCTAGGGAGGATTTTTAAATTGGGTTTTTTAGAAATTTTAATTATCACAACACTAAAATTTTGGTTTTAATTTGGTTTTATTCGGTGGGGTGTGTGGGTCTCTCTTTGTTTTAATAATGTTGTGAGCCGCCCTGAGTCCTTCGGGAGAAGGGCGGGATACAAATTGGAATAATAATAATAATAATAATAATAACTCCTAAAATGCCCCATGCTGGCTAGGGAACTCTGGAAGCTGAAGTCAATATATCTTAAATTTTCCAATATTGAGAAACACTGTTCTAAACAGCTACCTGTTTAGAAAAGGACACAGTAATCTAGACCAGAGGTCCCCAACCTTTTGGGCATCAGGGAGCGGTTCTGTGGAGAAAAGTTTTTCCATGGACCGGAGGGAGCGTGTGCTGCCTGCATCCCGCGGATGGGGCTTTGCTTGTTTGTGCGGACCAGTTGTTGGCATGCCGCGGACCGGGACCGGTCCATGGACCGGGGGTTGGGGACCCCTGATCTAGACCAACCTATTACTGCCTTGCAAACTGAAAACCCATCTGTCTACCAGATTTCAGAAAATAGCTTATTGCTTCCATTGAGGGATATTGTCTTTGCAAGCCTTGCATGCTTGATCTGCTGTCCTTCAAGTTAGTTCGTGTGATTAATGTATCTGAACCCAAGAACCCTGTTCTTGAAGCAAACTAAAAGTCCACATAAGTCAGAATTCTGTTGCTCCTAATAAGTAGTCTCTGCTGCTGTTAGATCTAACAAATAAATAGGCAACTGTCTTGTTTAACAATTGTTTGAACTTAAAAACGTTGAAAAAGTAACTTTATTACTGGTCCTCACATGTATGACAATTACAGCATCCCTGCAGTTGCATGATCAACATTTGCATGATTAACAATAGATTTCTGACAAGCAGTCAATGGAGAACAGCAGTAAGACCACAGATTGTGGTCACCTGATGTTTCGCTTAACAAGCTGCAGTGGTTCACTTAACAACCACAACAGAAGTAAGATTGTAAGCCCATCACAGTCATATGATGCTTCACTTAGCAACTGCATTGCTTATCAATGTAGTTGCTGGTCCCAATTGTGATTGCAAAGCAAGGACAACTTGTTCTTAAGATAGATCACCTTTGAACCTAAAGTTACATTTAGCTATCATAGGTAAGAGCCATTGACACATCAATTCTCTATTGAAATTGTCAATATTGTCTGAATTAATGGCTTTAAAGGGTTTATAGTTTATGACAGTGACTATCCCTATGACTAATTATTTGGTACTATGGCTCAGTGGAGACATAAGGATTTACGAGATTAAGCATGTCATTAAGCATTACTGTTAAAACAATAAAGAGAAATTATGCTTTTGGAAGCATAATTTAGAAAATGTTTACCTTATTGCTTTTTAATGTTATATGATTAAAAGCTAACTTATCATAAATTATGACACATAACTTCTTTTTATGCTCTGGGACTCAATGCCACAGATATATAGCATATTCTTTCAGGATGAATGGCCAAGAGCCATGGTGGCGCAGTGGTTAGAATACAGTATTGCAGGTTGATTCTGCTCACTGTCAGGAGTTTGATCCTGACCGGCTCAAGGTTGACTCAGCCTTCCATCCTTCCAAGATCAGTAAAATGAGGATCCAGATTGTTGGAGGAAATATACTGACTCTGTAAACTGCTTAGAGAGGGTTGTAAAGCACCATGAAGTGATATATAAATTTAAGGGCTATTGCTACTGCTATTTGGAGTAGTGATAGTAAGTCAAGGAAAAAGCTAATTTCATGTCGATGTTTCAGAAAGGGATTGAAAATAAAACTAACGATGCTTTATAAAAAAAATCTCTGGTAGGACTACATTGGAATACTGCATACTTTTTGGTCACAACTTCTTTAAACGGTGGCAGAATTATAAACAGTATAGAAGAAAGCAACTCAAATGTGCACAGGTTGGGAGCAACTTCCTATGGAAAAAAAAATACAGTGTCTGAGAATGCTTGTGTTGAGGAGGAAAAGTGTAAAGGGAAAGTGGTCGAGTAAATTAAAAGTATGCAAGTGGCAGGGATAACTACTCAGAGTAAAAAAATAGAGATGAAAGGTGGAAAATTCAGGACGGAAAAAAGGAAGTATTTCACAAAGCTAAACTATGAATTTCTATTGTGATAACCAGTCTTTAAAAGGGACGAGACCTTGTCATGGAAAATAAAGCTATCAAAAGTTACTAGTCAGGATGGTTTTATTATTACCTACAGATTCTTGTCAATGCATTTCTTGGTACCAATTATTGGGAGGGTACTGTGATACTCATACCTTAAAGCAGGGGTAGTCAACCTTGGCTCTTTTATGACTCGTGGACTTCAACTCCCAGAATTCCTGAGCCAGCACAGCTGGCTCAGGAATTCTGGGAGTTGAAGTCCACGAGTCATAAAAGAGCCAAGGTTGACTACCCCTGCCTTAAAGGTGAGCTTCCAACAACTTTTAGTTGGTTTTTTGGGAACCAGGATTTTATAATGGACTAGTGGACATATTTAGTCTGATCAGGCTCTCACAAGGTACCATCTCACTGGCTTGTGAACTCCCTAAAAGTCCCTGGCTCATTAGAGGGACCACTGCTCTGTTCTAGCACAGTAGAGAAAATCTTCAGACTGTCCCAAAGCCGGCTGAGATAGACACCAGAATTACCTTCTTCTGATGATGATTGAGGGGGACAGTTGCCCTGAGTCATGGTGAACAGGGTGTCCGAGATGTCTGAGAGGAAACTGTCCATATCAAAGAGTTGCCTTCCCTCCTCCTCTTCCTCCTCCTTATCCCGCAGCAGCATTGGCACCACATTGGAGAAGAGCTGGTTACACCAATTCTCTGTCGATTGCCAAGGTACATCTTCCTGAACAGGAGAGAAATGAATCTTCAGCTGGGATCTCATTAGGATCCCTTTTGCAATGAAGAGCTTATGTGCAGCTCCAAATGGATTAAGCCAGATTCTCTTCACTCACCGGTTTTGGGCTGGGAACTTCCCCTTCCCGGCTAAACCTGTGGAGCTGTAAGAGAAATGCTACATTAGAATTGGATTCCAATTGAGGGATGACACTTGTTCTGGCTGAAGCTGTAAAGGACAAGGAAAAGTCACCCTCGTTTCAGTGGGAATGAAAGTGACAGGTAGTTTGAATCATGCTAGTGAGGACAATGCTGGAGAATCTTAAGTAAGGTTAATCTAGTGGTTCCTAATACTCTTTCAGGTAATCTCTGACATCCTTAAGATAAAAGGATGTGCAAAAATTTAATCTCTCCTGTGCTGAATAGGCCACCTCCTTTTTGCATTGTAACAGGTAGTCCTCAACTTACGACCACAATTGAGCCCAAAGCTTCTGTTGCTAAGTGAGACATTTGTTAAGTGAGTTTTGCTCCATTTTACGACCTTCCTTCCTACTGTTGTTAAGTGGCTCACTGCAGTTGTTAAGTCCGGGATATGGTTAAGTGAATCTGGCTTCCCCACTGACTTTGCTTTGCTTTATGACACCACTACTGTCATAAATATGAGTCAGTTGTGAAGCATCTGAATTTTGATCACGTGACCATTGGGATGCTGCAAAGGTAAGTGTGAAAAACGGCCATAAGTCACTTTTTCCAGTGCTGTTGTAACTTTGAACGGTCATTAAATGAACTGTTGTAAGTCGAGGACTACCTGTATTTTGGAATTTCTACAGAAAAAAGTCTCGCTCTTCTGTGAGCAAGGAAAAACTCTGTGATTCTGCTCCTGCGGTTATACTATCACTTCTGAATCATGCCAACAAAGAATTAATGTTTCAGATGAGGTCATCTGACAAAGGTTCTAACTATCCTTTCAGAAGTAGGAAAATATCATGTTAACACTAAGACACAACTTGGCCAATGACCTTCAATGCAAATGCACTGCACAGCCACAATACATTGACAAACCACTAGGTAGGTTTTTTTTACAATTATTGCATCAAGGTAGATTAAGGGAAAAATAAAATATAAAATAAAATAAAATACTTTAAGAAGCTAAAACATTCATTGATTAAAGCTTGCACTTCTTTGAAATCATGGCTCACCAGGGATAAGCTTCAGAGTGTGTTTCCAATGCAATCAGGGCCCATTTGAAGTAACAGTGCTTGTCATATGTAGCAAGAAAATAGTAAGTAAGAGAAAGGACTATTTTATGATGACTTTTGTCCAAAGCAACGAATTAAAGAGAGGCCATTCTTTAATGCATTTTCGGAATCCATAGATTTGTTATTTTTCTAACATATCGGCTTGTAGTGCCATTGCTGATGAAACGCCAGCATCAGTACCTAAAAAGTCATTATCACCATCACTTTCATCACCATCAACCCCCGGCCAAAAAAAAAAAGCCTAAAGGAAAAAGCCCCAATCAACTTAGATATGAGTATGCTTGCCTTGACATTGTTGCTCTATGATGCACCATTTCACCCAACTGAAGGTTACAAATAGAAGAGTTTTAGTAGTATATAGATAATAACATAATAATAAGAACAGTCCAGCTTTGGACTGTTTTGCTAGTCCAGCAGTCTTGAAGCAGAAATTCCAGAGCCAAAAGTTTTGATCTCTTGTGAATCTTGGGAAAGGTAAACTGTGGGTATCCCTAATCAAAGAGCAAATGAGCCCCTAGGTGGAGCTGCTACCCAACTCATGATTTGGAGTTGATTTTGACTCTTTCCATTTCTTTTGGTTCCCTTTTGTCAACCTGTCATCAGCAAATGGTGAATGGCAGATACAATCAGATGATCTCAGGGAGTCTCTGAGGACAGATATGAAGTCTATCTTTTCTATCTAGTAGCCAACATGGGTTTGGTAAAAACAGATCATGCCAAACCAATCTCATCTCATTCTTCGATAAAGTGACTAAACTAGTAGATCAGCGAAACGCAGTGGACATGGTATACTTAGATTTCAGTAAGGCATTTGACAAGGTAGACCACAACCTACTGCTTGGTAAGCTAGGAAAAGATGGAATAGACAACATCACCACCAGATGGATCTGTAGCTGGCTAACAAACCGTACTCAACGAGTAGTCCTCAATAGCACTACATCCACATGGAGAGAAGTAAGTAGTAGGGTACCACAAGGTTCCGTTTTAGGCCCAGTACTCTTCAATATCATCATAAATGACTTAGATGAGGGAATTGAAGGGGAACTCATCAAATTTGCAGATGACATCAAACTGACAGGAGTAGCCAACACCCCAGAAGACAAACTCAGGATCCAAAAAGATCTTGACAAACTTGAACAATGGGCTTTGTCCAAGAAAATGAGTTTCAATATGGAGAAAAGCAAAGTCTTACATTTAGGCAGGAAAAACCAAAGGTGTAAGTACAGATTGGGCGAGACCTGGCTTAAAAGCAGTAACTGTGAGAGGGACCTTGGAGTCCTAGTGGACGATCACTTAACCATGAGCCAGCAGTGTGCAGCAGCAGCCAAAAAATCTAATACAATCCTGGGTTGTATAAACAGAGGCATAGAATCAGGATCACACGAAGTATTATTACCGCTTTATAAAACCCTAGTAAGACCACACCTGGAATACTGCAGCCAATTTTGGTCACCATATCACAAAAAAGATGTTGAGAGTTTGGGAAAAAAAATCAGAGAAGAGCAACTAAGATGATCAAAGGCCTGGAGACTAAAACATACGAAGAACGGCTACGGGACTTGGGTTTGGCTAGTCTAAAGAAAAAAAGAAATAGGGGAGACATGATAGCAGTGTTCCAGTATCTAAGGGGCTGCCACAGGGCAGAGGGGGCCAGGTTGTTCACCAAAGCACCAGAGGGAAGGATGAGAAACAATGGTTGGAAATTGATCAAAGAGAGAAGCAACCTGGAACTAAGGAGAAACTTCCTGACAGTGACGACAATCAACCAGTGGAACAGCTTACCCCAGAAATCGTGGGCGTTCCATCACTGGAGATTTTTAAGAAGAGACTGGACATTCACCTATCTGAGACGGTGTAGGTTCTCTTGCTTGAGCAGGGGGCTGGACTAGAAGACCTCCAAGGTCCCTTCCAGCTCTATTCTATTCTATCCACCCACCCAGCAGGTCAGTTTGATAACAGTGTGGGGAGAAAGGAAGACAAATCCTTACTCTTTTCTTGTAGTAGGTCCGCCACTTGTGATACTCCTTCATTACCACCTCAATCCGTCGCTTCCAGTAGTTCCCCTCCAACACAACTGCCTGAGAAGGAAGACAACAAACCAGAAGAAGAAATTAAAAGAAAATAATGATAAAACCCTCATTTTTACTCATTTTTAATTGCAATTTTCCAAGTTCAGCCTGGCTTTTGGGATGATAAAACCATTTTAATATTAGCATGTATTATTAATGTAACTAAAGGGAAAGATATTTAAGTGGATTGATCTCCAACACAATACTAAACCATGGTTTGGCTTAATCATATCTTGCTGAATGGATTAAAATGGATGGGATCACATCACACTAAACTATAAATCATGGTTTTTAAACAGGTTATCTGGGACCATATAACAGTCGAAGAAAAGAAATAACCACTTCATGACATAGCACAATGAAAGGAAGACGGAAGGAAAAGACAAGCATAAGGAAAGACTGATCCAGTTCACAAGATGTTCTTGTTTTCAGTGTCTGATAAATTAATAATGTCAATAATTTATTAAATATTATGCCGTTCAATTCCCAGCAACGCTGGGTGGTTCTAAGGACTCCCAACAATGGGTTAGTATTAACCTGTGTCATTAGTGATTTATATATGTTATATGAACTCTGCTGTTTGATTTATATAGAACGTATTTTACAATCCCCCAAAATTGCTTTTTTGATTCAGCAATCAGATTGCGTGTTGCATGAAAACTGCTGAGATCTCAAAAGGTGTTTTTTTTCAAATGGCAACTGAATTTTCTTGATTTTTTTTTTTTGAAGACAAGATGCTTCTTGGATGAAAAGTAAAACGTCTTCAAGAAAAATCAAGAAAGTCCAGTTTTTGTTTAAAAAAAACCCCCACCTTTTGGGACAACCATCACCTGGATGACTGAGAACCTCCACAGACACAGCCATGTGGTTTAAGTGACATAGTCAAATAAGTTTGCTGACTTTTCCTAACACTCGTTTTATCAACCTGTAGGAAGAGTGGCAGAACCTGGGGGCAGAGTTAAAAGAGGGATCATCCTAGAATCTCTACATAGCCACAAACAGACTAAGTCCAGCTCTCCCCCACTTGAATTCTGTTAATCCTTATCTAATACCTAGCAGGTGCTAACCATTAGTTGAGAATTTACCTGTGCATAGGCACCAGTAGCAATAAATCAGTTTAATTGGACCTTCACATGTGGACCTAATCTTTCATGACTGACAAAACTGTACCCTCAGCATCATCTATACACACACAAAAAAAAACATACATACATACATACATACATACACACATGATATGGAGAAAATGCTACACCACTTACTTCTGGCTTTCGATGCTCATCTGCTTCAGACCCATCTAGAGGAGTAACAAATCCACAAACAGAGGTCTTCCTGCGTTCCACATCTGTGTAAAGAATCTATTACAGTAAATATTCCATTGTCCAGGCAAGCTAAGGAGGCACAGGTATTCCTGCTGCTTCTCAGTATCTGTTTTATGAGACAACCATGTCATTTGCTTTGCCCCCCCCCCACCTTCTCTTTCATCTCCCCTCCAAAAATATATTAAGCCAGAAAAGATGGAGTTATTGCTTGCTTTGTAATGCAAGCAAAAAGACATGCAGAAATGTCCCCCCCCCCACTTTTTTTTTTAATTCCAGTTTTTCCCTACCAGTGCAGTTTGGATTACCACTTCCGTTATCCTTGTTCGTGCAGGCTGAGACTAAAACATCTGCTGGGTACCAAATCATGAAAATACTTTCTACTTCATTGTTTCTGTATTTCCTCCAGTTGCTATTTGCTATTCATGTAGCTGAGCTTGTTTTAGGCTATCTACAGCTGGATTGACATTCTTGATTCCTATTCACAGCTAGATGGTGACAAAGAGAGAGCTCCTTAATCTAAGCGCTTCGTTTATTTAAGAAAAAGATGTCTGAAGCTAGACATGATGCTATGGAATAGACTAATAATGGTGTGATTATATCATTTGGATGAGGAAAACTTCTAGGACACTATTGTCAGCAATTTGCAAAGCCATAGCAAGCTTTAGGATAGGGTAGGGTATAAGGTAGGGTAGGGTAAGGTAGGGGAGGGGAGGGGAGAGGAAGGGAAGGGAGGGGAGGGGGATCTGAGTGTGATGCTGGGACATGGTTCCAGAAACAATGGAACAAGTATAATAAAAAAGCCCCAATATCTTGGTATTGTAAGTATGATTTGGAGGCATCATGTATTTAAATACATTGCGCAGGAAGAATATTCTCATCCACAAGATAGAAACAAGGACAAAAAAGTATAGAGAAGTACAATGAATAATTTTGATGTAATCTAGATTTTCTTTTCTTTTATCTCGTCTACAATTTGTCATCCTGGGAACTTCTAACTTTTTACAATTTTGTTTTATATAATGTTGCTTACTCTAAAAGCTAATATCTTGATGGACATGTAAATATGCCTAGACTTATTCATTTACTTTTCACAAAGACCTAAGTTCCTTTTTTAGGATTGAAAAATTGCTTTTCAGATTTTTAATAAAATAAAAAATCCCATTAAATCTAAATTTGCTTGTACTTGGATCTAAAATGCTTTTCAAATGTGAGCAGTGCAAATACTGAAGCCCATCCCTGGGGAGCAAGCTTTGGCTCCTATCTACTGAAGCTGAGTTGAATTCCCAACCATCTGCCCCCAACCGTCTCCCCATCTCCTTCCTTAATCCCCAGACTCACACTGGATGTACCAAGCTCTCCAAATGGCATTGTTGAGGCGGATCTTGTCCCGACAAAGCAATTGTAATCCTTTAAAATTCTTCCACTTGGGGGATACCAGCTTCCCACTGAAATGTCAAAGAAAAAGACATGGATTTAAAGAAGGAGGGATATAAATAAGGAACAGATAGACCCCAGTTCTTTTCTTGACCAAGTTTGTAAGTCTTTAAATTGATCCAATATCAGTTTAACATGCCAGAGCTAATGGAACTATAGTTATATTGATCAGTAATCATTTGCTAGAACAACTAAATTTAGCAATCATGAACATAGGCAGTATTCCTTGTTTAAATGTGGTGGTCTTCATGCCCTGTTTATGGGCTTCCTAGAAGCATTTAGTTGATTGGTAATGGAGGCAACTAGACCTGATGAATTCTTGGTCTGATTGAACGAGGTATTTGAAGTATAACGTTGGATATCAGTGTCCATGGAGATTTTCAGTCATCCAGGTCATGACTGCACCAAAGGTGCTTTCCAAAAGGCAACTGGACTTTCTTTGTTTTTTCCTTGAAGACATTTCACTTCTCATCCAAGAAGCTTCTTCAGTTCTGAATGAATGGTGGAGAATGGAAGGATTTATATTCCTTGTTAGCACTCTTTCTGAAAGTCATTGAGGCCACTTGGTGGTTTATCTGTGCCCTCAGGGTCACCCAAAAAGTGCAAATGGGTGTGGAACTTTCTTAGAACTGCTGAAAGGACTATGTTGTAAGGTACGTTGTAAGGATTGCGTTGTAAACTTTGGATACCAAATCAGAATTTCCCAATCCTGAAGCAGCCTACTTTTCAACTGTGGATGCTGAGGGCAAACAGTAATAGAATGGCATTATCACATGTACATCCTACAGGCATTTAATTGGAAGCCAGATGTTGAATTAATGGATCTTTTATTCTTAGAAGGGCTTCCCGTCCAGTGCATTTGTTTGTAAAGAGATGGCTAGCATGCAAATTTGATAAACAAATTAACCATTTACAAACCATTATATAACTCTCCCAGGTAGGTCATCATTATGGCAAATCAAATGGTGCATTATCACTTCTATTGCAACAAGGTACTGAAATATCTTGTTGCCTTGACTGGATTGCTGTAATAATAACAGAGTAGTGCATGTGAAATGCTTTTAAAACATTAGATTGCTGAGAAGTGCAGTTTAACTAGTCAGGAAATAGCAAATTATGCGAGACTCCACATGAGAGTTCCCTGTTCTAGATATGTCACTGCCTTCTATAGGGAAGATGGTTCATAGTTTATTTATTGGAGCAATTATATTAGCACAAAACTAGAAATGACTAAAAGCGTGGGGATATCTGTGGAGATTCTCATCATCCAGGACATAGTTGTCTCAAAGGTGGTTTTTTTTCTTCAAAAGGCAACTAGACTGTTTTTTTCCTTGAGGAAGAAGAAGAAGAAAATGTTTCGCTTCTCTTCCAAAAAGCTTCATCAGCTCTGATTGGGGGGGGGGGGAGATGGAAGAATGGCTACCTATCAATACCTATCCTTCCATTCCCCCACCATCAGAACTGAAGAAGCTTCTTGGATGAGAAGTGAAACGTTTTCTTCTTCTTCCTGAAGGAAAAAACAGCCCAGTTGCCTTTTGGGGGGGAAAAGAGCACCTTTGAGACAAAGCATTGGATATATCATTTTCCTGTATAAGTGTACATATTACCATCATGGTCCTCTGCTTTGTCCAGCTTGCCACTGCACACACTGCCTCTGTGGCAAAATACCTTACCTTTACTAACCAAAGAGAGAAGCAACCTAGAACTAAGGAGAAACTGCCTGACAGAACAATTAGCCAGTGGAACAACCTGCCTCCAGAAGCGGTGAATGCTCCAACACTGGAAGTTTTTAAGAAGAAACTGGACAGCCATTTGTCCGAAATGGTATAGGGTTACCTGCCTGAGCAGGGGGTTGGACTTGATGACCTCCAAGGTCCCTTCCAACTTTTATTATTATTATTATTTACCTCAGGGCACCTTATTTCAGTTACAATAAATAAGGAATAGGCAACCTCTGAATGGTGAGCAGCACCTTCAGAAATGTGTCATGGGGGGGGAGGGTGGGGGGTTGAAGGAGGAGGGAGGCATTAGTACGGTCAGTGGGAGAGGCAGATATGGCGGGAGCAGGGGACCATATCGGGTTAGGGGAGCACGCACACGCTATTTACAAGCTTGTGGGCGCTCCGGTCCTCAGGCTCCTACTCGGTCTCCAGGAGACTTAGATCCCCCGGCCCGGGACTATCGGCT